CGCGCAGAATTTTAGGACAAATATTTTAATACACAATCACATTCACAAAATTCGTGAAAATATAGATTTACAGTAAAAGCAAAGTTAAAGGTGAATATTGTAGTAAACATACCGTGCTTGCCTGTCTGTGACCAACATTAAATTTAGTAGAAACAATCTGTAGTGACAAGTCTTTGAATCTCATTTCAATATCATAATAAACTTTAAAATGTCGATGCATATCCCGCCATATATTTGCGTTTGCGGAATCGAATGATTCTGACTTATAGACTGCGTAGACCACCCCCCCCCCCGACCGCAGAGGAATTACGCGATGATGGGAGGAAGATTCTGTTTATCAGGGGGGCGGGATGCTGTCTGGGAACAGATATTGAAAATATTGCTCCCTTCAGCGGAAAAATTACAATCTGCTTGCAATACTTAGTGTTAGTGTTAATGACAGGCAGTGAATTCTGAATATAAAAGCTTGATAGGAAATAGGAATATATATTATTAAACAATAATACAATTTTATACAGAGGAATCATTGTCATTTACATTCATTTACGTTTCCAAAGCAAGTAAGTTGGGCATTAATTTTAGTATTATGACCGTTGGTTATCATTTAATATATCATTGTGGTTCGAAATTTCGTTAATTAAAATAGTTATTAAAGTGCTAAATTTAATAGACTTAATAGTAAATAATCTATAATTTCCTAGCAAGCTTTTTAGTTTCTCTTTGTTTCATATCAATGTTTATATTAAATTGAATTAAAAATTGAATACATGAATTGAATACATAATGTTATAATTAAAAATTGATAATGTCATGATTCATGAAAACAGCTAAAAATTACAAAATATGTGGTGAAGCTAGTCATAGCAAGTTAGCAACTGATACTGTGAAGATTTAGGAAACAATGCAGTTCTATACACACTATGCATAATGCCTCAAATTATACAATTTGGCATCTGGCTACCAGCCTCGTTTTGATGCAACTTGTTTCCAGGTCCCGAGTTATTGTGCATATCATGTAATGTATGTATTGTAGAATATAGAATAAAATACTTTTCTAGGCCTGCTACTTCAAGTACTGCATACTTGCTTTGCATAATGCACAAACAAAGCAAAATACATAGTGTGTATACAATATCCAGATTTTGCCTTATCTCGCCTTAACTCGCAAGGGTCAGTAGCCAGATTTTTCCTTAACTCGCCCTATCTCGCCTTAACTCGCATAGGCTCGCCTTATCTCGCGGCGAGTTAAGGTCCCAGAGCAGGCCTTGATTACATGCTCAACTGTTCCAGCTGTTCAAGGACACACATCCACACTTTTATATGTGAGTCATCCTTTGTGATGGACATACTGAATTTACAAAAAAATGTCATGGTCTTGTCAATGGGGCATTTAGCGACATGAATTATATCAACAAATCCGCTCATCCAATATGAGTAGGCCCTCTCATCTTTGTATTTGCCAATATATTCAACATCGACTGCCTTTACTCGTAGAATGTATAGCATTCCATCATCAAGATGTGGCCATGTTTTTGAATGTCATCTTTCCAATATTCATCGCACAGAGTGCTAGCCTCGCACTTAATAATATAATTAGTTTGTAGCCATTGTTGGTATTCCTTCTTAATTAATCTATCAAAAATTTGTTCCTTGTAAATTTCATTGAAGCACCCAATTCATATGCTTTAATAAATGCTCTTGCCACAAGTTCAACCTTTTTCCCACTCTGTCAACCCACAGCCCAACGAAATCCTCATAATATAATCCATTTGCAATATAATCCTCCTATGAGAACATAAGATATCAACAACTCAAACACAATATCTCTGAATATATACCCTTTGAATTCGATATTAAAGGTGAGATTGACATTGGTATCAGGTTACACTCTCGCACCGGACGTCTTTCTTCTTTCCCGACGGCTTTGTTGTATTGTTTTTAAACATGATTCTTTTGTAATGTTGTTTTGTTTAAACAAACAGAGACGAAAAAGCCCTGTTTTCGGCGTTTCGTTGTCGTGAACCCACTGTAAATAGCTCGCCAAAAGGTGTGGAAGAAATCAGCATATTCACGGATTTTCCCCAACCAGATTCCATTGAAATCTTTACCAGTAGTTTGAAAATACACACAGATCAGCCAGAATATAAAAATTTGGATTCTCTTTTAATATAGCATGAGAAAATCAATAAAATGTCCATACAAAATTATCGCTCACTCACTAGTAATTTGTATGGGAAACCATGACTGGCCGCGCGCTCGCCCCAATGTTTTGCACCCCCGGCAATATGGCGGAATAAACCTTGAAAGGGCCTATTATAAATAGATAAATTAAATTGTGTTCGTGATAGAAGTTGCATGGACAAAATAAAGGATGCAGGGAGTTATTTTTGAGCACTATACTGTAGATGTTTATTAGATGCGGATGGAGCTAAATATAAGATAATTTATACCTCAAGCAGCGTAATTCAGGCACCAAAACGACTTTGAATATTTAATGAGGTTAGAATCGTAGTAATTCTTTCGATTCCAAATCGGGGGTGGGGTCTTTCTAGTTTGAAATAAATGTTTTCCAATTATTTCTTTAATAAATTATTAACGTTAAATATCATTACCTATAATTTCGCAGTTGGATCCAGAGTACCCAGCTCTACAGGAACACGAATACGACTCGCCATTAGCACCACAAACACCACCATGTTCACAAGGATGGTCAGCACACGTGACTGTATGTGATAGAAAATATATTAAAACATATGTGAGTACTTGGAGTCAGGCATTATATACATGTATGTTAGTCTCGTATCCCATTCATTTGCAGTTCGAGGAAATATTTTTCATTTCTGATGAAAAAATGGAAAATATTATCAACAAGGTAAAAACTTAAAAAAGGTCTATGCACTAACATTTATTAACCTTTCTGAAATATTGATCACGATATGAAAACGTTTCCCTATAAAAACAATTGTAGCCTACAATGTACATCCATTTGGGCTCCACGCATCAATGAAGAAAAGCTTTTCCATGCAGGAAACATCACGTCCGTTTCAGGTTTTGATTATATTAACGTTAATTTATACAATGTGTTGTAAACAGTGTAGTAAAAAGTCGATTTGACACGAATAGCAACTGGCAATAGAGTTCTCGCATGGCGACACATACTCTCAAAAGATTTAGCTTGAATCTGAGTGGTGTGCATTCATTGCTTTGTCGTAAACGCTCTTTACAGTCTTGCCGTCCAACTTAGCTACATTACAATATTTTTTATGTGCCTCCGCTTGTTTAAGAACTCCAGGCAAGCTTTGCAGGGAAGGTCGTTAAAATCTTTATACGTATATATCTTGCTCATCGCTTGTTTAAAGCAAAGTAAAAACATTTTAAAAAATCCTGCCATTAATAGACCTTTCCCCTTATGAGTGAAATTTTGATCTAGATTTGCCTGGGCAACAATTTCATCACAGCTTGAAAGAGCACCACAAAATTAGTAATATTCCGAAGTTTCGTTGCGAATTGTTGTAAAATGCGGATAATATAGCCTTGCGAAGTTTGTCGTTTTTCAGTCATTTTGCATTACAATCTAACATTTTGCATCAGTTTGATCATCTGATTATAAATTTCCCGTTTGTAATACCAAATTCCATCGCATAGTGAAACATTGCATAAAACAGATAAAATACCAGATAATTGAAGTTAATCTGCTACAGGAACCGCAGGCGGACCAGGCGGGACTAAAACTTATAAGGTTATTAAACTCCAATAACAAACCTAATCCCGTAAATAACTCCCTGAAATTCCTGAATATTTTTATTATCAAATTTGCAATCACCTTTGATTTCGCAATATTCTCCCATATAATTTTTCCCACAAGAACATTTCACTTTTCCATCATCGACTTTACACTTTCCTTTATTGCAAGGATTCCCGGTGCAATCGGGCACTATAACATATTAATTAATGCGAAATTACACATACTTAATCGGTTGAGAAATTCGGAAGTGAACTAAGATTGGAATGACAATGACTGAAGATATAGAGTTTCGAAGAAGTTGATCACGGGTGAAAAATTATAAGTATATATAATCTGAGAGTTTGGTAAAGTGACCAAGAGGATGCATTTTCAAAATTACACAAGATGGTTAACCTGATGTTTCACATCGTGCTCCTTTAAATCCATCAACACAAATACATACAACTTTTCCAATTGAACCCATTGTGCACAATCCTCCATATTTGCAGGGATTTGTAGGGTTGGTACATTTATCTACAAACGATTAAAAGTTTTAAATCAGTCGAACACATTATCCAACGATATATAACGGAAATAAAATGTTCATCAACCCCTCGCCCTTTCTAACCAAACAAACTATTATTACCAAACAATGGTTCCAACATAAATGCGCACTCCATAAGAAACGTAGCTTTTTAGTGGTAACTATGGTTTCAGCGATATGCAGTTTTAATTTAATAATTTTACTTTAATCGCCGTGGGAGATAAAAAGTGGGCAGGTAAAGCAAATGAGGAAGTGAAATTACAAGCAAAGAAGAAGTATTGTTGGTCAATTATTAAAGACGTGCAATGAGTAGATGTTTAGGGCGCAAATAACTGATATGGTTCAGTGCGATGAACCTGGACAAAATTTATCACACTTCTTTATCAGGACCGCGGAGAGGTTGGCGGGGGCCCGGGGCAAATTTTTTTTTAGGGGCCCCTATCTAAAAAATTTTCCCGGAAAAATTTTTTTCTGGATAACAACCTCCCCCCGCTTCAACCTCCCCCATATCTTGTCCTTTGCGCGCAAATATTTAACACACAAAAAAGGCTGGGGCCCAACAAAAGTTTTTCAGCGGCCCCCAGCAACTCGGGGCCCGGGGCAATTTCCCCCCCCCCTGCCCCTTCTCGGCGGCCCTGTTCTTTATTACGACAGAAAAATTAAGGAACGTTGTTTTCTTGTTCAATGCGTTATACCGTTACGTTTACCTTAACATTAACGATTATGTTTCGTTCCTTATCACGTCTGTACGTCTGTAATGTCATCCTCCAAACACATTTGTATAAAACTGCTACAGCACTACATTTGAATTATCGTGCACTAACCGTATAACCAAATCATGGAATAATCTGTGTAAAGAGGTTCGTTGTGGTACTTTTTCTAGTCCTATCATTTCTAAGAACATTCGTTAACTCAACACGGTCTGCGATGCTAAATTATTTTTACTTTATCCCTCGTACGCGACTGTCTTTGCCATAGGACCTACAATTTCGTTCGTATCTTGTGATTGTGGATCACTCACTAAATATACTTTTTTCTCTTTACAAATGTAAATATTTGCATTGTTATAGTTAACTTGCATTGTAATATAATAATATTATCCGAGAAAAACTGCCAAACGAAATTAAAAAAGTGTGGAAAAGATTGGGCTTTTCTTCAGACAACGTGAGTGCGTGTTGATGAGGAGGAGAATTGGAGGAAATTAGTGGAATTTTAAACCCACATTAGTATTTAATATATTTTTCTACAGTACCTATTTTACTGCACGTAGGTCCAATGTAGCCAGTCTTATCGCAATCACAAGTAAAACTGCCAGTTTTTGGGTTTGATTGACAAATTCCTCCGTGGTGGCATGGTTTCGTAATACAAGGATCTAAGTTTTAAAAAATATACAACTAAAATAATGGACGCAACTGATCAGTCGAAATTGATCACAGCCTTCAAAGTATCATTTCATCGTTCGCTTGCGTGCAAGTTATAATACAAAAAGCATTAAATTCGATCGAATACATACAAGATAATTCGACGCCTGTTTCAAACGTCGAATTTTGCATGCATCGAATTCAATTCTGCTCGAGTGTTGTCTGAAATGACGGAAAGCTTGGGGCATTATATTTATATATATATATATATATATATATATATATATATATATATATATATATATATATATATATATATATATATAATATATATATATATATATAACTCGCTTGGTTGTTAGAGCGAAAACATGTACAGTGCTCGATGCGGGAAATTCGCAGAGCTTAATATATTGTTCAAAATGAAAAAATTAAAAATAAAAAAATTTAAAAATTTAATGTGCTGCTACTTAAGTTTTACGTATTACCGATCGTCAGACAGCAATGGATTATAGTGCACTAAGCTACTGTGCTAATTACATAAGTTCAGTCTCAAAGCCTACTAATTAAAGCTATCGAGTTTGCAAAGAATTTTACTGACAAACCGCAAAAAGATGAGAATATTATAATGTAGGGTAGAAAATCCCTCCTCTTGGACGGTGACACTGCATGGACTAAGAGAGCGAGCGACAATTTGTTTGACGTTACAATGGGGCCGAAATATGTGAGCTCGTTGGCCTGTACATGCTGAACAAATTGTCAGAGAAGACCGTGATTAAAGGAAACATAGGGCTATATCGCGACGAAGGCCTGGCTGCATATGAAAACATCTCGGGACCACAAGCCGAAAGAATTAAGAAAAACATCGCGAAACAATTCAAAGATGAAGGACTGTCGATAACGATCAAAACAAACCTAAAGATCGTGAATTTCCTCGACAACACTCTCAACCTTGACAAAGATACATTCTGCCCGTGCAATGCAAAACCGTGCATTGAAGAAGCGTTACACGCTAGCGGGTTCAACCACCGAATGTCCTATGAAACTAGCACAAATAGCAACAGAAGGCACCGAAAGCGGAAAATCATCTGGTATAACCAGCCTTTTAACAAATGCCTTAAGACCATCATCGGAAAAGTGAAATCGGTAATACGTGAAACTATATGTGTGTGTATATATATATATATATATATATATATATATATATATATATATATATATATATATATATATATATATATATATATATATATATAGATATATATATATAATATATATTATATAGATATATATATAGATAGATTATATATATATAGATAGATTATATATATATAGATAGATTATATATAGATATAATCTATCTACACAGCAAAAAATCATTTTCTTATTTTAAGAAAAAAAACAACTTGTTTTAAGAAAATTTTCTTGAAATAAGAAAATATTTTCTTGGGAGAATAACAAGAAAATTTTCTTAATAAGAAAAATTTTCTTAAGAAAATTTTCTTATTAAGAAAATTTTCTTGAGAGAAAATTCTTAAATTGAGAAAATATTTTCTTATTTTAAGAAAATATTTTCTCAAATCAAGAAATTTTTTTTCTTATTAAGAAAATTTTCTTGTTATTCTCCCAAGAAAAAAGTTTTCTTGAAATAAGAAAATTTTCTTAAAATAAGAAAATAATTTCTTATTTTAAGAAAATAATTTCTTATTTTAAGAAAATAATTTCTTAAAACAAGAAATTTTTCTTAAAAAGAATTTTCTTATTAAGAAAATTTTCTTGTTATTCTCCCAAGAAAAAAAATTCTTGAAATAAGAACATTTTCTTAAAATAAGAAAATAATTTCTTATTTTAAGAAAATAATTTCTCAAATCAAGAAATTTTTCTTAAGAAGAATTTTCTTATTAAGAAAATTTTCTTGTTATTCTCCCAAGAAAAAAAATTCTTGAAATAAGAAAATTTTCTTAAAATAAGAAAATAATTTCTTATTTTAAGAAAATAATTTCTTAAATCAAGAAATTTTTCTTAAAAAGAATTTTCTTATTAAGAAAATTTTCTTGTTATTCTCCCAAGAAAAAAAATTCTTGAAATAAGAAAATTTTCTTAAAATAAGAAAATAATTTCTTATTTTAAGAAAATAATTTCTCAAATCAAGAAATTTTTCTTAAAAAGAATTTTCTTATTAAGAATGTGTTGTTTGGGTGTTTATATCTACAGGTACTCAGGTGAATATTGTTTTTGATGTTACTCTGAGTGTATATGTAGTTAGCAGAGCATTGGACTAGTTGCGGGTTCGATTCCCACCATGGTCAGGCTAACTTTTTAGCCTGCCCGGTGTGGATATACACTCAGAGTAACATACAAAACATCAAATTATTGTCAATTTATACAAGTTCTTTTTTCAGCCACTGTTATACAACTAGGTGTAGTTCTGATTGCACAGCAATGTGTTGTAGCAAATTTAAGTTCTTCTGAAGACCTGAAGCTGTAATTTTTCAACTCTTTCCACATGACAAGCAATATTATCTGACAAACCGTTTGTTCAAAGTCCATAGATTTCTTTATAATGCACATTAAACACTGTTCCAAACACATCATGCAAATGCCACTGGAGATCCATCATATATACATCCTTATACAGCTAGTAATCTGTAAAAGGAAAAGTTTACTTATATATTGAGAATGTAATCATCACTCTACAGTAAAACTAAGTATTATATGTAGTGTATACAGAAATATAAATGAATTTATTAGCGATTTTCAGCAGCCTTTCGGGCTTGTATTCGACTTTTCTGCTTTGCTTGGGGGACAACCTTAATTGAAATAGCTATATATACAAAATTGCAAGAACAATAGACCTGGAGACTTGCTTGCTAATCTGAGTCACTCCTCAGAAACCTAAGTTAACTCTTTAGATTAAAAAGCATAGACGGATTTTGTGGGGCGGGGAGGGGGGTGCGCTATCCTCCTCCCCCCCCAATATTAGCTATAACTCCTCCCCCAAACAAAATGACCACCCCTCCAAAAAACTATTTCAACACCCCCCACCCCCCAACATTTGGCATAATAAAAAATAATTAAATAGTCCACTCCAACATGCAGAGTGTTGATGATATAAAATAAACGTAGGAGTACACTCAAATAGAAAAAGACAGTGCATTCACTGGTTTATTGGAGCAATTGTAAAGTTTTGAAACTATATTATCTCCCCTGAATAGAGTTTGCAGTGCCTTCTCATGCAAATACTTAGCTTGCTCGGAAGGAACATTTGGATTTTTTACAAACATTATTTTTAGTTTTTAATTCTTTTAGAAAATGGACTTGCCTAGATTTAATCTTTATGCCCCAATTATTATTTAGATCGGAGTTGCATCATAAAATGTATTCGGATTCAAACGACACAATGTCAATGACTTTATAAAACTGGTAAAAGCATATTGTGTATTGGCCTATTAGGTTTACACTTTTACAGGTTCATTTAACTTTTAATTAACTCTCCCAAGTCTCATCAGACAATCGGACATGCCAAATCTATTGATATGACCACTTCAAAAAACTCTTTTCAAAGCTAGGAATCATGATTTTTTAAATTTTTTCCAGGGATACTTTGTTTTCTGGTCTCTAGACTCCTCCTCACATCTCTAGTGCTCCACCTCTAGAATATAGTATACCTTACTGGGGTATTTATTTATTAACTTTGCTGGCATAAAATTACACAGAGTGGCCGGGACACCGCAACAGCTTATTGCCAATTACTGCGGGCCCAATTGGATACAATCAAACAAACAACAAACATTCAACTGGACAGACTAACAAACCTACGAACAAACAATATTAGTTACTAAAAGCAGCAGGATATCGGATATGTATGGTGACACTTTGTGTTGCTTCAGTCACCTGCTCACGACTCACCCCCCTAAAATTTCTGGCACTACCCCAGTAAAAATATGAAAATCTGTCTAATAGTATGTTAAAAAGATAGACCAGTATTAATTTTATGACTTATTATTTATAATATAATTCATTTATAATATAATTCATTAATATAATTAATTTAATATTATTTATAATATAATATTCTTATCTAATACAAAGGGTTTATTGTTTAACCCATTAAGCGCCAGCGCTCTCCTCTTGACAAGTAAAATCGTCTGGCGTTAGACAGAGTAAAATACTAAAGTAGGGTGTATCAGGGTGCAATGCAACTCAATGGGTTAATGTTATAATCGGCCAATCACCTGTTCATATTGGTAGAAGACGAAAGAGGGAGTATTAAACTACATATGTTTTATATAAATTTTATTAAGCAGAGACATGGCTGTAGGCAGATCAGATGTCCTGGATTCAGTTATCATTTTCTTGTGGCAAGTGCCCAGTAGACTATTAACCTTTAGTCATGCACCAAAGCTGCAATATTAAGAAATGTAATAATTTGTCCAATACCATATCACACAGTTACTGACAGTATAGTTTACTTCCGGTTGCTGTTCATGGTTCTTACCAGCTGTATTTATGGAAGCTAGGCTGGACCGCTTAGCGGGACAGCCCGGTAAGCGAGATCTTACTGCATTAAGTATATTTATTTAGAAAAAATTATCATGTGTTTAATATATGGATCCACAAGCAGACTGGCTCTGATGCCACAATGTTGCTTATCGGGATGAAAATTTCTCCACATATACACTCACAAGCAGGCTGGGCCAGGATGAATGTTCAAAGATGCCGAGCTGCAAGCTATTTTTAACAACTGTCAAAACAATGTCAACATAACAAAATTGTCCCGGCGAGCAGGATGGCATTTTCTCATATAAACACAATCTTGAACTGTATTAGTGATGCACCGATATGTGGAAATTCACCAATATTCTGATAACTGATAATAAAAGACCAATACTTTGCCGATACTGATATTCCATGTCATTTCACGAAATTCAAAGATGACTGATACACCAATATGGATATCGGTACATCAGTAGGCGAGTTGTCCGGCAAGGTGAGTTACTCACTCAGGCAGGACAAAAAAGCAGTCTATTTATATGAAATCAAGTTACCCCATGATTGCTGCACAATGACAAAATACAAACACAATTTGGATCATTCAAAAGGTTTAAAAAACATGATTACAAAATATGCAATCTTGAATAAGCTGCTAGAAATAGAGGAAAGCTATAAACATACCTAATGATTTGTATGTACTTTTGGGCTATTATTTTAAATGAAAAGCATATACATTCTATCTAGGATTGCAGAGTTTCCCAGGTGAAGTATAGTAAGTCGGGAAAACTAAACATTCTCTACAGTAGCCAAGTTATCCGGCAAGGCAAGTAGGAAAATCCTCTGGCATTAGACAGAGTAAACAATAAAGTAGGATGCAATTCAGTTATTCAGCTATCTATACACTGAAAATATCAGATTAAATGATGTCATTCTCCTGTAATTCCAATCCTTATTCAAGTACCTGTATTAAAATGCTAACAGATCTTCAAAAACATCCGTATGTATAATATCTTATTTCATATCACTATACAGCCTTGAGTCTTGACAAAGGTCTAGCAAAGTGCCAATGTCAAAGGCAATTTAATATTGTCAAATTGTTCATATTAGTGCGTAAATTAGTACGGAATTCACAACAATAGATTTGAATTTATATTTTAATCTTTCGTCCCTTGCCTGAAAGCAACATTTGCATGTTTTATATGCAAAACGAACGCGGCAAATTCAAACATTCAATGGAATATTTCCACACTTCGCTCAAGTAAACAGTCATAATCACTACATTATTTCGCAATGAATATGTTTAAATAACAAGTCAAATATACAATTATTCTTACCTGTGGTATCTGAACAACATTTTAAGGACTTTCTGATGCTTTTCCCATCGATATTTGCCATTTAAATTGCCTTTAATTCCATTATGATATATTATAAAATTTTTCACAAAAATGTAAAACGACGCTATCCCGCGATGCTCCGCGTTCTAAAAGGTAAACTAGGTACCAGGCATTTAGTAAATACGCGAACTATGGCGAACTATTCCTGCTTGGATAAAATTTCCGGAGGGCAAAAATTCTCTTCAACGACCAATAAAACTGAAACGAGTTCAAATTTTGGAAAGGAAATAAAAACAAAGTGACTATATTACCGGCAGCCGGTCTAACTCTCAAAAGGTTAGGGTTAGGGGTTAGGGTTAGAGAAGGGTTTGGGATTGGGGATCGGTTTATCTATCTTATACTGAAGATTCAACTTTAACTATATAGTTAATGTACTGCCGGCCATTTAGTGTTTGATCAACCGTGAGCTGCCAGTCATATAGTCTCTTCAATTCGAAACTACAAATTTACCTGACGCAATATGATATACGTTGTTCTAAGTTTTGTTAAGATATACTAGTTGTCCTTATAACACTAGCATTTTACATTTTCTTGCTTCGAAAATTTTAAGTAATAATGTCTTACTATTTTATATTTTTGTATTTTAAGAATTTCATTTCTTGTCTTACAAACATATTCTTAAAGTAAGAAAATCGTATTTTCTTAAGAAAATGCTTTCGCGTTAACTAAGAAATTATAAGAAAATTTTCTTATTTTAAGAAAATGTTTTCTTATTAAGAAAAATTTTTCTTATTTTAAAAAAAAGATATCTTGGGATTCAAAAATTTCTTATTTCAAGAAATTTTTTTCTTATTAAGAAATTTATTTTCTTATTTTAAGATTTTTTTCTTAAATTAAGAAATTTTTTTCTTAATAAGAAAATGATTTTTTGCTGTGCAACTTTGCAGAGAAGTTAAGAGTGAGATTGGGGATGTGGATGACACCTTTGTTTTTGTCTGGGGGCATTTCGTACATTATGAAAGTTGGTCTTTTTTGATGAATTTCTGTGACATACAGTAATGAGCTTTAAAGGCACAGTTCAGCCTTTTGAGTGATGGATTAAAGCCCTTTTAATTGAAAAAACTAACTAGGAAAATCAATGTTTTTAACAATAAAAATCTTTTTAAAATGTTAAAAACATTAAGTTTACTGATCTTGAATTATGCTTAATTGATTTTCCTAGTTAGTTTTTTCAATTAAAAGGCCTGAAACGCTCCTTAAAAACCATCATTCAAAAGGCTGAACTGTGCCTTTAATTTCCTTTGATAATTTACATTAATTACATATAGAATTCTGCTCCGACTGATTCTGCCTTTTGTCCGCCGTATTTACATATGCGTACTGTTTTGTATCCAAATTGTGGGCAAAATGTCGGGCCGTATAACACGTGATTATATATTCGATTCGCGATCCGTATAATGATTAATAATGTGCATTTAAGAATACAATATATTTATTATTGAAAAAATACTATGAAACTGCTATGTGCGTGAGATTTACTAAACGTGGCGTGAGAGTGAAGCGAATTGCGTGAGACCAGGGCGTACGCCCTGGTGAGACTCACGCCGAATGCGTGAGAGTTGAGAGGTCTGTATGCAATCAAGAACGCTGATTCAATTACCGTATTTACTCGTTTGAGCGCTCTTTAAATTTTAAGAACTTCAGATGCGCTCATTCGGGGGCGGCGCTCAATCGGGGGCGGCGCTCAAACGAGTAAATACGATAGGTGCATTATGTAGATGTAGGGACAATAAACAGACGCTGTGCGTGTAGAAATAACATTTCATTGTTACAAATAAAGGATAAAAATCCATTTGTAGAAATAAGAGTTATTTATGAAATTAATAATATATATTTTTATAACATTCTAGATGCTTTTTGTATCAAGGAAGATAATGGTTGTCATGTATCACTGAATCAGCTTTGAGCCCCGTTTACACTACGCTCAATTTTTGGTACGGCACGGATAAAATTGGTACCCGAACCACTTTTTTGGTTCTTGGTCCAAGAACCAAAAAGTGGTACGGTACCAAAAATTGAGCGTAGTGTAAACGGGGCTTAGCTAAATAGGAAGTCCAAGAACCAAAAAAGTGGTACGGGTACCAATTTTATCCGTGCCGTACCAAAAATTGAGCGTACTGTAAACGGGGCTTTAGTGGCGGCTGAAACTATAATATTAAAACGACCAAGAAGTCCCTTTCTTGCTGAAATCAATATATACATTTCTCGTTATTTTGATACCCGTAGACAAGCGCATGGAGAACTATAAAACATCACTTGCACAACCCATAATCCCTCTTCAATGGTTAGAGGTGCAATACTATTAAGAACCAATTTCATTGGCTGACATATGAAAATAGGAGAAAAATATTTCAACCGGAAGTAGAAACGATAGTGGTCTTTCCTGACTAATTTTTATCTTTAAAATCTTATGAAAAGAATTCTAAATTTTCATTCAATGTTGTTATTACTTCAAAAGTTGCAAGACCTGCCAAACTGCCATGTCGGGCGCTCCGGTCTCCTTCCACAGGGCAAGTTGGCAGGGTGGGTTAGGATAAACACAGTTAGGAAAGTAATATCCTAATTGCAGACCTCTCAACTCTCACGCATTTGGCGTGTGTCTCACGCAATTCGCTTCACTCTCACGCTCTCACGCCACGCTTAGTAAATCTCACGCATATAGCAGTTTCATAGTATTTTTTTCAATAAATAAATATAATATCGTATTCTTAAATGCACATTATTAATCATTTAGTCATTATACGAATCGCGAATCGAATATATAATCGCGTGTTATTGTTCCTGCATATACGGCCCGACATGGCTTTTGCCCGCAATTTGGATACAAAATAGCACGCATATGTAAAAGGCGGACAAAAGGCAGAATTTCTCAGGGACAAGGTTTGTCGGCGTCGAGACAGCACAATTTTAGGCTCAGTTTGTTCGCTAACTTTTGTTTGACCAAATTCGATCTTCGCATCTCAGGAATCGTATTGTATTGCTGTATTCGTAACACAATTTACTATAAATATTGGGAATCATGCAGGCACGGGTGATCACTTAGTGTTGCGTAATCACTATGCCGCTCATTTCTGGCTAAGATCAGTCGGAGCAGAATTCTATATGTAAATTATCAAAGGCAAATTAAAGCTCATTACTGTATGTCACAGAAATACAGTTATTGTAACTAAAGTGCCTTTAAAGGACGTTATGAAGCAATGACGTATTTCATTAAAAAAGACCAACTCTCATAATGTACGAAATGCCATTTCAGACAGGTGTCATCCACATCCCCAATCTCACTCTTAACTTCTCTGCAAAGTTGAGAGGTCTGTAATTGTTGTAAAGATAAATAGTCTAAGTTAAGTATATAACAAACATAAGTAAGCGTAATACTGGATTTAATCGGTCACTGTCTGAAAAGCCCCAATGGGGAGTGAGCTGAATAATGTCATGTCATGTCATGTCATGTAATGAATACCTTTCACGTAATATGTATTGCAAAATATTCATTTGTGTCTTTCAAACATTTTTCTTTTAATATCTTCGTGGAGCAAATAATGCTATTCAGAAAATTTTATAACTGTGGAACACACAATCGTTCACTGCTGGCTTCCAACTCTCGTGATTTTTGTGACAGCACCAGTTGTGCAGAGATACAGGGCTGCGTACATGAGCGTGATTCTCAAATTTGAATGATAAATATATCTGATGGAGTTGCATGCTCTATTGCTCTTTCATGGACTTTTATATACGCCACACTCAGGGCCGTAGCAAAGAGGCTAAAGAAGGGGGTGGGGGAGGGGTAAGTATCGCAT